ACATTCTTCAATTAGAATAAGTAAATAATCTCCATTTAAATCAACAAATAACACAATTAACTCCAAAAATCCGAAAACTATCGTAACTTTTATGATCGATCTCGACCTACACAATTTACGACCGCCAAGTTCGTAAACAAATCTACCAGTCTATAAACTGCCGATAATTAACTGAAAACAAGTTAAACTTCAAGAAAACATGATTTCATCTATAAATCTATGGTTCATCTACTACAGAAGACCAATTAAAGTCCCTGAAACATGAAGTAAGCTAAAATAACACCACAACTTTACTACTGCTAAGATCAGCTGATTTCTATGTAACTCAAAACATGTGCACAAACTATTTCACTTAAACTTGTCAATAATCACCTATCAACTACATGCAAAGCATAAATCAGTACATATTCCTGCAATGTCAAATAATTATAACACATATACAAATTTATCTTAACTCTCCTACACTGTCAACAATAATCAGGTTCAATAACTCTGTATAAAGCTAATCTGTCAAATCTCTGGACCGTTACAATACGTTTATCTTATGTACGTATTTTTATTCTCTCGACAAAATATTCCTATTTCATATTTTTGTATTAACAAAAATGCTTAATTTTCATTTGTACTGGTTAAAGACAAGATCATTTTAGTTTTTACCATGATTACTAAAAATAAAAAATCTGTAAAAAAAAAAATGTTTTCGAAAGCTTCTCCCCCTCAGTAAAGTATTGGCTTGATTCATTGACAATGATATGATAATGAATAATACATTTCGCTGCCCTGCTACTGTTTAGTCCGATTTCTCAAAGACTTCCAAGACACAGATATTAAAGCAAGGATCTTGTACCAATTTTAGTATTACCATAGTTTCAGGCCCAATGACTACTTTTATATTTTCTTTTATAAAAATTAGAGTTACAATCTCTTCGGAAACTTTTTAAAATTTCTTTTTGTTGTCTGCTTCTTTATCAGCTGAAAGGTCTTTTTATCCAGTTTTGACACAAAGTTATCATTTTACAAACCAGAGCGAAAAACTCCTATTCTTTGTTCATAATTTGGTGATATTGTGACAAGCCAGCTCATGTCAGCTGGGAGTGATACAGCAGTTTCCATTTTACAACAAAAGTCGAAAATCAAAGATTTTTTCTCCAAATTAAAGTTAAACGCAATTTATTCATTGATCATTTCACATTAAGAAGACTCTTACTTGAAAGTCATCTTTAAAAAGCATTAAAAACATTATTGAAGAACTGTTAAACATGAGAAATGAGAAACAAATAGTAAAGAATCGTTCTCGTTGACCGATATTTGGTTAATGCCAGGGCTTTCAACCAATTCATTTCAGTCATTATCGTAAATGACATTAAATTCTTCGATAAATTAATACTGAGCTTTAAAATTGTGTGCGATCGAGGTTCACAGATGCGTCCGAGCAGTTAAAATGTGTCTTATTGAGATGACATATTGAACACTCGATATGGGTTTAAAATCCAAAACAGCCAACAACAGGTTTTGGAGGTTACTCAGTTCTGAATCACGTGACCTTCATCACATCATCATAATTAAAATAAGAACTTGCAAATGCAATCTTTTGACAGCCTTTGGAGATTTTTAAAGCAATTAGTATAATTGCAGTTTTTATATTGTGCTTAAAAATTTTATAGGTCTTGTGTTGTGTCTTACCTTGTTTCTTTCCTTCATATATTGGGAATAGATGCTCATGGAAGTAACAGTAACTGAAAAATGACGAGAATGTATTGGATGCGTTTTTTGTTTCTTTATTCAAAATTTCCTTTACATATCTTGCTTGTTTGCAACATGTTTCTTTATTCAAAATTTCTTGTACGTATCTTGCTTGTTTGCAACGTTTCTTTATTCAAAATTTCCTTTACAGATCTTGCTTACCGGTATTTGCAACGTTTCTTTATTCAAAATTTCCTTAAACATGCTTGTTTGTAATATGTTTCTTAATTCAGAATTTTTTGTCTTTGCAATACCTTTCATTCTAAATTTATAACTTTCAAATATTCTGCGCATTGATTTATTTATCGTATCGTACGTTACAGAAACTGTCTATTCGACCAGCTCGACTGCCATCTTTTACTTCTCCGTTTCTACTTTTGAATTTCTTAATCCATCTAAATACTGCATTACGTGAGAGAAAATACTTTCTTTTTATAAGAACCTGTCCTTTAGCAATTTGATCATGAAATGCAGTTTTCACACATCCTCTTGGTAAAGATATTTTTTTTAGTTTCCAACTCATTGACGTGACGTGACTATTCTTACTTAATAAGGAAATTTATGCATAAGAACGGCAAGGTGAATCATAAGAATTTTGTGAAATATTTTAGACTCTCAAGAAAAACTCATCTGCTCTTATATTTATTTTAAAATGAAACTTATGTTTCATTACAAAGTGAAGGATATGGAGATAACGAACAGTATTCAATATCAAAGTCCATAGAAGTGAGCAACACTTATACATATAAATAAAACCAACCTTAAAAGTTGAGCTTTATAGTAGAAATATCATTTTCCAATGCTAAAACAATAGCTAGCACATACCACCTTATGAGTTTGCTACGGTGGCTTAAAGAGCCCGCAACTCAATCCACAAAATAAAATATGGAGTTTTTCACACTAAGGAAGTATGATTGATTGTGCCTTGAAAATGTGCATTTTTTTCTCTTGAAATTTCCATTTTCATCAGGGGGACTAAATAGAGGTTAAAACAATGTTCCATTGACTCCCTCTAAAATTTTGGCAGTAACTGTCTCATCTTTTGGAATATGCTTGATCATGTTCTGTAGATAAATGGCCCGATTCTTTTGTATATGTTTTATACAATAAAAATCTCTCTACTTTTTCTCTTTTGTCTTATATTTTATGCTTTTTTAAAAAAATGGAACGAATAATTTTTCTCCTTTGACAATACTGGGATTTCATTTGACTTCTTTTTTTGTGAAATACACTTTAAAAAGTATAGGTTTGCAGCCAATTTTGGTGCTTTTGCGTCAATCCTTACTTTTTGTAGTGTACAATTTTAGGATTCAAAGTCAGATGGATGCATAAAAATTTCAGTGAAGGGCTTTTGCAAAAGCTTTCAATAAAAACAACATGCTTTTTAATCATTAACGATTAGATCTAACCGATTCCATACTAAATCGATGATTATATTTAACGTCACTTAGGCTTAAGCAGGCATTTCGGACAGGAAACTTTTGTAAAATTGCCGAGAGGGAATCAAATAATGACAGTTATAATACAGGTATTGACAATTTTATCTGTTTATTGCAACCAAGATACATAGAAAATACATTAAAAGTCATAAAGAGAAATTGTATGAAATACAAAGTAAATTCTTGAGAGAGTTTATGCAGTAATAAATTAGCACATGGAGGAATATGAATTTGGCTTACTCATCAGGAATACATGCAGAACAAATAACTACCAATTGTTTTTTTTTTATTTTGTTAAATTTTAGATGAAATTATCAATCATAAACAGTCGGTCACTTGCAGTTCTATCCGTTGTATACAACATTGATGTATCATGATGAAACATTCGTACAAAGTTTTGACGTTTACACGCAAGGTCTGTTGCACAAAAAAAATGATGTTGATGCACATGTTAGTTTCCCTTAACTTACCCAAAGATTGAAAATTTAACTACATGTATTTTAATGATTAGTGCATATTGCTGCCACATCGTGATTAATAGGGAATTCCTGAAGTTTGGGTCTGTTCGTAAAAAAAAATCTTGTCGATCTCGGGTCCTTGACTAACTAATCTTTTAATAAGAAATATCTTTAAATATTAATTTAATTCATAAATTGTAGGTTTTTTTGTTTTTTTTTTTTATTAAATATTTAGCATGTTTTTTTTTAGTTTTTACATAAATAATCTGTGTAAAAAAAAAAGAACAAAGTTGTAATGAAACATATGGAGACATATATGGTTATTTCAAATTAATATTTGAACTTACGCGAATCATGGATACTTGCATAATTCAAATTGACATTTTACTGATGATCAAAGAGATTTTTCAAGATATTTTTTTCAGACATTCCCCTCGTCTGTCGATTTAGATCTTAAAAAAAGAAGCTTTTTGTGCACAAGAGACTTTGGCAGAAGCTCAATGCAAAATTTGAGCACTTCAAGATATGACCTTTGTTAGAAAACGACACATCCTTACTGGCTTCTATATTATATACTTTTCATTATACTTTATCAATATACAATGAAAGATGACCTAAAATTACACACAACGAGTTATTTTCTAGAATCAGCATATCTGAGTTTTAATTTGTACCAGTCAAAGAATATACAAAATCAATTATTGCAGTTTGAAGTTTCTAAATAACTTTTAAAAGAACAGATCTTGAAACCTTGAAGCAAATATATTTTTATTTTATTTCAAGGTGGCCACAACATTGAGAAAGGGAAAGTGACGCAAAGGGTTGACAAACAAAGAAAACATGAAAGACAGACATATATATGTATCATCCCTGAAGGTCCGTTTTGTGTCCTTTTTAGACGATGCATCATTAATGTGCAATTTGTTAATGAATTAAAAAAAAATTATATATTAATTTCAAACTTACCAACTTATAAAATATTCTCCTCTTTTCAAAAACTATCATATAAAAGCAAACGATGAGAAAACAAAACAAATACACCAAAATAAAAAATCAAACAAACAAGCAAACAATAAGAATAAAAGGCAAAAAGATGCCGAGCCATGGTGCATGTATACTGAGTATTTTGCTTATTAATCTAAAGTTTTAGAATATCTCTATTCAATATAAAATCTGTGAACAACAATAAAAATATGTCAAACAAATTAAACGAATGTGCAATTAATATATTAGCTGCAGAACTTAAATGGGCATTTTTTTGCGCACCGTTAGCAAAATTTTTTCCACTTTCCAATATTGGTTAATCAAGTACCTTTCATTCCCTAATTTCAGAAACAATATTTAACGAACCTCTATATTTTATCAGAGTCCCAACCCTTTATATACTAGTAATCGTTTCTACAGACCAATAAACTTGTTTGTTTTGATTTTTGTTGAATGGCAGAAAAATCAAAACAAGCGAGTTTATTGGTATGTAGAGACAACTATAAAGGGTTGGGAGGTGGACAAAATATACAGGTTGGTAATTAAATATGTTTTGAATAAGGGAATGAAAATTAATTGTATAATGCTGGAAAGCGGAGAAATCCTCCTAAACCGTGCGCAAATGAGTCGTAAATTGCACATTATTTGCAATACAGTATCTTTAGCGTTATGGTCAAAGACTAATACATGTATATGAAACCATAGGTTTGCGCTACAATTCTGCAGCTATCTTAAAATATATCAATGTTAAAGGCATAAAAATTTTAAAGACGAAGCTTTTGCTTGACAGATTTCCACATCACTGGAATAATAAACACCTTCGAGGCTGTTTTTGACCTGGACATTTCTGTTGAATCGGATCCAAAATGAACTTCTGAGACGGCTTTCCGAAGAATCATTCCTTTGAAAACGGTTCTAAATTGAAGACTTAATGCAAAATACACAGCAAAATTGACAAACGCATTCAGTAATGCCAACATGTCAAGAATGTCCCCTACTTCCGAATACAAAAGAAAATAAAAGTAATGACTCTCGCCTCCTTGTAAACCGGAAGTGAACGCCGAAATTCCAATTGGTAGCTCCATAAGGACATAGATCATTAAAATAACGATGAGCATGACTGTAGTACGACTGTACCCTCGATGATTGCTTACGTGACTCTCGCGACCAACAGTGAATACTCTCCGTCTCTTTTGAGCTCTGTGTAGTTTTCCTATCATCAGAGCGCTGAGGACAATCATTGCAATGGAAGGACAAACCTTAAATATGACGCCATACACCCACAATAATATTGTCTGGTAGTCGATGTTGTTTCTGGCAAAGTTGGTTTTCCTTATCCAGTAGCCTGTGAGAGTAGGATAGTCTTCGGAAACGTTATAAACTTCATAGTAAAAATAAAATGGAATGGTGGCCATTGCTGTAGTCAGAAACACAAGAGAGACTGTCACCTTTGCTCTTTTCTCGTTACACCAGACTTTTGCAGCATTAGGATGGCACACTTTCATATAACGAAATATTGCTAGAGATATGGTAAGCCAGTTGGACGTGGTATGAAATGCTATGAATTCATGGAAAGTTATCACCACAACATACATCCATTCTTTGGGATGATACAATAGCTGACTAGGTCCCGTGGCAATGAAGAGATAGGCGGAGTATATCAAATAGAAAAAGAGGCTCAAAGAGTCCGTTACGGCTAACATTGTCAGAATGAGACTGGTGGAAGATCTCATACATCTTCTGGACCATATAAAGGCGTTGAAGATGTTCAAACCAATTCCTATTGAGCAGACTACAAGACTCACGTAACCATGGTAAAGCCGATATCCCGAAACCCCTTCTGGAAGTGCCGTCGCTGGCTCCGTAACGTTGTCCATTGATAATAGTTGTTAAATCTATGTCCCCTCATCCACATTTCATTGAACAGAAGAACATCACTCGTAATTAAGAAATCCTGCTTATTTCGACTGATTATGAAGAATACATGTATATCCTTGTTTTGGTTTGCACGTTGTGTTATGACTAGAGTTCCGTCCCTCGTGGTTTATTATTTAATTCAGTGTCTCTTATTGTGTATCATTACTTGTACTTTACACTAAAGTGATCAACAAAGCTGTAAATTACGAGTAACAACTGTATAGGTAATTTGTCACAGTCCATGCATATATTATTCCAGAAAACGATACAGGCATCTCACTGCACAGGCCATAAATATACCGTAGTGAGTTGAGTAACAGTCTGCAGGTGACAGCATAGGCAAGGTTAATGTCTTTAGGAACCTTCAGTGACTTGCATGAACAGTTTAACTGCTTCACTGATTATAGATGTACTATAATAATAATTACTTTATTGTCATGTATTTCATATGTTCGATTTTGCGCCAATTATCTGGAACAAAGTTACGGATTTCCAATTCAAGATTATAAGCTGTGGATAATCGCTCTCCAAATTACAACATCGTAAAATTTAGATACATGTATGTATCCTTAGGCCGTTGTCACAGATGGCAGAGGAGGCGTATCGTCAGAATGAAGCATGTACACTATATACTACTGTACACTATATAGATTATCAGATTGTCCAATGGGAGCTCAATGAAATCTTCAGATGATCCAAATTTCACACTGGTTTTTCTCTGTGGCCACTAAGCTACTCGCTTTCAATTTTCAAAAGGATCTGATTGGAACAAAAAAAGTCCGTAAATCGAAGATGAAGTTTATGCATAGAGAGTATTACCCCATTCATACGACATGATTTGCATACCTCAGTATATTTTACACATACGTAAATTTGCTCACATGTGCAATTTTTGTCGTATGAACTCATTTACTCATATGCAAATTCTGCACAATTGAGTAAATTTACACCTGGTCAGGACTAGGTGCAAATTAACTTTTGCTTACACATTGTAGCAAACTATTAGTTCATGTGTGTAAATTTTGTTATATGAACACGCAGCAAATTTACATATGTATGTATTTTATTTTGTTTATTGCAAAAATATTCTTTTTTATGCCCCGAATCGAAAGATCCTGCGGGTATATTGTTTTTGTCCTGTCTGTCTGTTTGTCTCTCTGTCTGTTGTCAACTTTAAACTAGCCCATACCTATTGATTGAGTGGGGATATCGCTTTCATATTTCACAGGTCTTTTCTTCCTGACAAGACCTTTCCAAGAGTACCACCAAATTTGACCTCTTGACCTTTGAGTTTGACCTACTTTTACAAAAGTATACCACACTTTAACCTTGGCCATACCTTTTGAACAGTTGGAGATAGGGCTTTCACCCTTCACATGTGTATTTACTGTGACAAGACTTTTCAGCTGGTATAGATATTTTGACTTTGACCTAAGAGTTTGACTCGCTTTTTAAAAAAAACTTTTACCTATGTCATAACTTTTGAACAAATAGAAATAGGGCTTTCATATTTTACAAATACATGTATATTGCTTGTAATAAGACTTCCCTTTGAATACCAACACTTTTGACCCTTTGACCTTGACCTTTGGAGTTTGACATGCATTTGAGAGAATTCAGCCCCATAGCCATAAGCTGCCATACAGCACATGCATTGTATTGGCATGTAAAATATCAGTCGGTAAACATGGTGGCTAGAAAGCAAAACTCTTAACAAGGAGCCATTATCTCTATTTGCAAAAACGAGGACATGTTTCACCCTTTGCAAACCTATGTTTACGTGTTGAAAGATATAGCTGTGGTTGCAAGCATGTGCCCTGTAGGATCAATAAGAAGAGTCCTTACTATTCAAGTTGTCTCTTTGGGAATGCTCCAGAGCTATGATAGGAACATGCATTCCATCAATAGTTCGGGTCCCATCACCGTTTAGCTCTTGAGGACTTTCTTTTACCTTTTTCTGTTTTTTTTAATTCAGGCAAGCTACTCACATACATGTATAAGTTCACCTAAGAAGAATTTCAATAAACTCATTGAAAGTAAGTATTCGTAAGTATCCTCCTTGATGCCTGGTCCCACCATGATTCTCTTTGGGTTCGTGTTAATTTCCTATTCACATACATGTAAGTAATATAGCCGACATATTGGGGGAGGGGGAGTAAACAATGGGGCCTATTGTTTGGGAGAACAATAGCTGACCTTTTCGTCACGGTCCAGGAAATATGTCTCCAGGTCACGATCAGATCGTTCACCTTACCCCATTGTTATTTCCTCCTCTCGACTTTCAATAGAGGGATTACACCCTCTTGTCTACCAAGGTCACTATGAGGTCAAGAAAGAGGTCAACTACAGGTCACGAAAAGGTCAGCTATTGTTCTCCCAAACAATAGGCCCCATTGTTTCCCCCCCCCATATGTCGGCTATACTACTCATGTATTTGTACTGTTCAAAGATTTTTGAGATCGATCACTGTTAGTTCTCTTCATCCTTTTCATTCTCCTAGAAAATACATAATTATCATATTCAAGTAGATATTTTTAATGGCCTCACGCACTTGATGTACATGTACTGTAGATTTCCCATCACCAAAAAGATTCCAATTGTCATATTTCTGCTGAAGGAAGTAGACGGCAACAGTCACCTTTTTCTCTACAACCAACGGCTCTTCTATAGTCTTTAGAACCAAGGCAAATATATTTTCCAACATTAAACAAAAATTTTATTTTATTTTTCTTTTTTGATTGTAAATTCTTATATCATTCTTTGTCCTACATTTGTAAAAAAAAAAAAACAAAAAAAAAAAAAAAAAAAAAAAAAAAAAAAAAAAAAAAAAAAAAAAAAAAAAAAAACCTTATGTTCGGGTTTTTTGTACCCATAAATCAGTGGATCGGTTCCTTCCCTCATGCAGTTCTTTGAGGAACATTAAATAATTAGTCTTATACCCAAACAGTAAGGTAATATCCTTTTTGTATAAAAATTCACAATTCTCTCCTTATTTGTATGAAAATATGAGGATTTACTAACAGTACATAAATCTCGTCTGAACGCAAAGCAAATCAACTTTTACTTATATATATAGATTTACTTATATGTAAATTTGCACACATAAGCAAATTTTCGTCGTATGAATGGGGTATATGACGGAAAGTTTAAAAGAAGAAAAGAAATTAATGTAACATGATTTATTAATCACATGTTCATAACTTTGAGAATCTCCAATTCTTAGACATTGATAATATTCTAAAAGTAATTTTAAAAAGTAAAAATCAGTTGACAGAAATAAACTAACGCTTACATTAAGGACAGATGATGCAAACATTTTTTTTTCTTTTGAGGAGACTAAATATCATCTCTCAAGCTTAGCAAAGTGGATAATTCCTTAATTTTTTTTCTCCTTGGTCTTGGAAAATGATATAGACTTGAGAAATATTAATTAATGCTTCAGTAAAAAAAAAAAAAAACAAATATGGACAAATCAACTCAGTAAAGGTTTACTGATAAAAACGAATTTCAGGATATGTTAACTTAGTGCTAAACGTGTATTTACAAACTTTAAAAAATATACCAAGCCAGGTGAATTTTATGAGGAAAAGCAAAATGGTATAAAAATCAGTATATGTGATTTTATGTTCTTTTGGGTTTCCTCATAAAGTTTACCTGGCTTGATATATTTTTGTAAAGTTTATACCACACATTTAGCACTAAGCTAACATATTCTGAAATTTGTTTTCATTTGTAAAACTTTACTGAGTATGGTTTGTCCATATTTGTGTGTGTATGTGTGTATATTTTTTTTTAAAAGAATTAACTGATTTTTTTTCAAATCTTTTTGATTTTCTTAGACTAAGGAGAAACCAGAAGTCTCTGTCGAGACTGAAGCTCTACTGGTTTGTACTTGTAGCAAAGGAAGAGAAAAGTACTTAAGCAGTTGGGAATTGAAACTTTACAACAGCAATAAATAGAATAATGATCATTGATAAGGTCTTCTTACGTTCTTAAGTGTTTACTACTTGTGTGCCAAGTTATATTGAAATCAGACCAAAACTGTAAGAGGAGTAGAGTATTATAGGAAATTCACAGAAATTTCTATTTTTAGTAACCATGGCAACACCGTTTATCGAAATCAAAAACTGATACACAGAATTATGTATCTTAGTGTAGTCTACTTGTGTGCCAAGTTATATTGAAATCAGACCAAAACTGTAGGAGGAGTAGCATTTTGAAACAATTTCACAGAAATTTCTATTTTTAGTAACCACTGCAACACCGTTTATCGAAATCAAAAACCGATACACAGAATTATGTATCTTAGTGTAGTCTACTTGTGTGCCAAGTTATATTGAAATTAGACCAAAACTGTAGGAGGAGTAGCATTTTGAAACAATTTCACAGAAATTTCTATTTATAGTTACCACGACAACACCGTTCATTGAAATCAAAAACTGATGCACAAAATTATGTATCTTAGTGTAGTCTACTTGTGTGCCAAGTTATATTGAAATTAGACCAAAACTGTAGGAGGAGTAGCATTTTGAAAAATTGTTTACAGACAGACAGACAGACAGACGGACAGACGGACGGACGCCGGACGCATTACTATCGCATAAGCTCTTCTGGTCTCTGACCAGTAGAGCTAAAAATTCATTCAAAGAATTACTACTTTTTAAAGCCTGTGAAATAATACCATTGCTCCTTCAAAGAAAATTTTTTGTATCATCAAATTTGTCAGATTTCAGGTGTCTATGACGAAAAAGACTTTTTTTTAAAATTCTAAATGACAAAGATAACTTTAAAATCATATTAAATTCAAAATCGAATTTAATTTCAAAATATTCTTAAAAAGAAATTAAATAGAATAATTCTAAAAATAATTTAGCTTACCTGATTGGAAGAAATCAAAAGTCCGTACTTAAAATTCAAAGATGAAGTTTATAGATACATAAAAAGTAGGAGAAAAAGTGAA